CGCCACTAGCCTTGTTGCTGAGTCCGAGTCTGAGTCTGTCTGTCCTCCGTCCGTCGGGGGTGTGTGTGCTCTTGGCACGGACGTCCTTGAGGACAGACAGGAGGAGTTCCAGTGCTTTGCTGCTGCTTTGCCCCATCTCGTGTCCATGCTAGTTGCCCCTGAGGGAGACCCGGATGCACCAGACATCCCGACCCCGCGCACCTACGCCGAGGCGATGGCGGGTCCCTACTCCTCTCAGTGGCAGACAGCCATGGACGCAGAGATGGCTTCCTGGAAGTCCACACGCACCTACGTCGACGAGGTTCCCCCACCTGGGGCGAACATCGTCAGTGGCATGTGGATTTTCAGGGTGAAGCGGCCTCCGGGTTCTCCTCCTGTCTTCAAGGCGCGCTATGTGGCTCGAGGCTTCAGTCAGCGAGAGGGAGTTGACTTCTTCCAGACCTTCTCCCCCACCCCGAAGATGACCACTCTTCGGGTTCTGCTGCACATAGCCGCTCACCGCGACTACGAGCTTCACTCACTTGACTTCAGCACTGCTTTCTTGCAGGGCAGCCTGCACGAGGAGATCTGGCTACGCCGCCCTCCTGGCTTCACTGGGTCGGTTCCTCCTGGTACCCAGTGGAGGCTCCAGCGGCCGGTCTACGGTCTCCGCCAGGCACCGCGTGAGTGGCACGACACACTGAGGACGACACTTGCGGCTCTTGGGTTCGCTCCCTCTACTGCTGACCCGTCACTGTTTCTACGCACAGACACCTCGCTGCCGCCGTTCTACATCCTCGTGTACGTCGACGACTTGGTCTTTGCCACTGCTGACACCGCGGCACTCGCCCACGTGAAGTCGGAGCTGCAGAGGAGACACACGTGCACAGACCTAGGTGAACTGACAAGCTATCTTGGCTTGCGGATCACCCAGGACAGAGCACGGCGCACCATCACCTTGACTCAGTCACACATGGTGCAGCAGATCCTTCAGCGCTTCCGCTTCACGTACTCCTTGCCTCAGTCCACTCCTCTGCCTACCGGTCACTCGCTCTCAGCTCTGCCTTCGGATGAGTCCGTAGAGCCGAGTGGCCCGTATCCAGAGCTTGTGGGCTGCCTCATGTACCTGATGACCTGCACTCGACCTGACCTTGCATACCCTCTTAGCATCCTTGCACGCTATGTCGCTCCTGGCCGTCACAGGAAGGAGCACATGGATGCCGCTAAGAGGGTGTTGCGCTACTTGTGCAGTACGTCGGGCATGGGGCTAGTGCTTGGAGGGCGAGACCGAGTTGTACTTACTGGACACTCAGACGCTTCTTGGGCGGACGACCAGGCTACTCAGCGGTCGTCTCAGGGTTACACCTTCAGCCTTGGCTCCGGCTCAGTTTCTTGGCGTTCTACACGCTCTTCTTCTGTTCTCAGCTCCAGTTGTGAGGCTGAGATCTACGCCACAGCCATGGCTGCCCAGGAGCTACGCTGGCTGACCTACCTGCTGACCGACCTGGGAGAGCGGCCTCGTTCTCCTCCAGTGCTGTACGTCGACAACCAGGCTGCCATTGCCTTGTGTGAGGAGCACAGACTGGAGCACAGAACGAAGCACATTGCCCTGCGGTACTTCCTTGCTCGAGAGCTGCAGCAGCGTGGTCAGCTACGTCTGCGTTACGTGGCCACTGAGGCCAACCTTGCTGATGTGTTCACCAAGGCGCTTCAGCCTTGTGACCATCAGCGTTTCTGTACTCTTCTAGGCCTTGTGCCTGCTGGACCTCACTTGCTTACTTCTTGACTCTGTTTGTACTGTGATCTCTATATATATATACCTGCATGTTTACACCTGCTAGGTTGTGATCACTGTATGTCTTGCTACATTATCAAACTGCATGTGAACTGGTCTTGTGACCGCTTGCTTGTGCTCGGAATTTGTGTGGTATCCTTGAGATCCACCCTGAGCCTGTTTTGCTTTGCTTTGCTTTGCTTTGACTGGTCTTGTGACCCTCTGGTTGTCTCCCACTTCGCCTATGGGGGTGTGTCAAACATTGTATGTTTATATTGTGTAGGCTATAGTGGGTCTAGCCTTAGAGGGTACACAAACTTAGGGTTTCATACTTGTACCCACCTTCCTGCTAGTTCATCCATTCCTCGTTCAGTTATTCTGACACCATCTACCCTTATCCTCCTCCGCTATCCCCCCCCCCCCCCCCCCTTCCATCTCCCCCTATCTCACCGCTTATCTCCCAATCCCCCAGGATCCAGTCAGCCCATTCACGCCCTGCCACGTGTGTCAGGTGGTCCCCACAGTACGGCCATCTGCTGACGCCAGCAGGGATGGGCGGGGCAGTCAAAGTGTGGAGTTCTTTCAAGGAAATACCAGAGAAACGGGCAAATTCCTTGAAAATGTTTCTCTCTACCCGGTGAGGGTGTTTCATGGCCACCGGGCAGCAGTGAACTATTCTTCATGGACAAACGATGCCGCCCGGCTCCTGTCAGCCAGCCCTAGATGCTACAGTGCGAGTTACTGACGTGGAATCGGGAGCTACAGTAGCAGAGGCGCGTCAGGGCGGCGCCATGTCAGTTTGCCGCCCGGATCCTTCTAACCCACAGATTTTCACCACAGATTCTTGGATCAGCAGTGTGAGATTCTGGGATATGCGAATGCTGGGCGGCGTTAGTAACAGGCAGAGTGATGGTAGCAAGAGTGACTGTAAAAGGAGTGATAGTATCGAGATATTAAATGGAGGCAGCTTGGCCAATCACAGCAGCACCCACAGCAGTTGCTGCTTCTGAGCCTTCCAAGCCTATGCTGGTATTTCCAATGGACGGTGGGGATCTTTGTCAAACTGAGGAATGAATGATGCATTGATGTTGGTTTGGGGTACATATAACAAACCCTAACTTTTGTACCCCCTAAGACAAACCTCACTACAGGCTACAACATTTGACACACCCCCATAGCCTAAGTGAGGGGTGTCTAGCAAAACCAAAAGAGTACGGTCATAAGACCAGTCACAAAGAAACAAAGCTCAGGGTGGATCACAACGTCACCACACACTCTGAGCACAAGCAACAGTGGCCACAAGGCCAGTCCAAGCAATAACAGAGATATATAGAAAGTGTACAAGCAAAGCAAACAGTGAACTCAAGACTAAGTAAGACGAGAACCAGTGTCAACAAGGCCTAACTGCACACAGCACCTGTGGTGGTCACAAGGCGGAAGCGCCTTGGTGAAGATGTCTGCAGTGTTGGCCTCGGACTCCACAAACTCGAAGCGAGCATGTCCACGTCTCTGCAACTCTCGCAGAAGGAAGTACCTGACGTTAATGTGCTTCACTCTGCTCTCCAGTCGCGGCTCTTGACAAAGGAGAATCGATGCCTTGTTGTCAGTGAACAAGGTCGGTGCAGAGCTCGGCCGCTCACCAAGGTCGGCGAGCAAGAACGTCAACCAACGCAGCTCCTATGCCGCCATGGCACCAGCGTAGATCTCAGCCTCAGCTGTAGAGGTCGAGACCGAAGAGGAGCGCGTGGACCGGCAGGAAACAGCTCCACAACACAGGCTGAAACAGTACCCTTGAGTAGACCTGTGAGTCTCAGCGTCGTCAGCGTAAGAAGAGTCACAGTGACCAGTAAGTACGACAGACTGCTGCCCTCCAAGAACTAGCCCCACGCCTGATGTCATCGCTAGGTACTTCGCCACCCTCACAGCTGCTGTCCAGTGAACAGGACGGTGTCTCCCTGGCGCAACAAAGCGTGCAAGGATGCTGAGAGGGAAAGCGAGGTCCGGGCGAGTACAAGTTATCAGGTACATGAGGCAACCCACAAGCTCTGCGTAGGGACCACTAGGCTCAAACGGCTCGTCAGGAAAGGGTCCAGTGAGTCTGTGGTCAACAGCAAGAGGTGTGCGCTGTATTGTGGAGTGCTGAAGCCCGAACCGCTGAAGGTTCTGCTGCACCATGTGTGACTGTGAGAGTGTAATGGTGCGAGCAGCTCTGTCCCTGGTGATCTGCAGCCCAAGGTAATGGCGCAGCTCACCAAGGTCAGTGCACGTGTGTCTCTTCTGCAGTTCGGACTTCACGTCTGCCAAAGCAACCCTGTCAGCAGTGGCGAAAACGAGGTCGTCGACGTAGACCAGAACGAAGAACGGTGTGGAGCCACGACGAACGAACAGCGACGGGTCGGCAGAAGACGGCTGGAACCCAAGGTCAGAGAGGGTAGAGCGGAGAGTGTCGTGCCACTCACGAGGGGCCTAGCGAAGACTGTAGACAGGTCGCCTCAGCCTCCACTGGGTCCCAGGAGGGAAAGTGCCAGTGAAGGCAGAGGGACGACGCAGCCAGACCTCCTCGTGTAGGCTGCCCTGAAGAAAAGCAGTGGAGAAGTCGAGAGAGTGTAACTCGTAGTCTCTCTGTGCTGCTACATGCAGTAACACCCGAAGAGTGGTCATCTTCGGGGTAGGCGCGAAGGTCTGAAAGAAGTCAACTCCCTCGCGCTGACTGAAACCTCTAGCCACGTAGCGCGCCTTGAAGACCGGAGGAGATCCCGGTGGCCGCTTCACCCTGTAGATCCACATGCCATCGACTACGTTCGTCCCAGGGGGAGGAACCTCATCGACGTAGGTGCCTGTGGATCTATAGGAGGCCATCTTTGCGTCCATGGCAGCTCTCCATTGAGAGGCCCAAGGCCCTGACACTGCCTCAGCGTAAGTGCGAGGAGTCGGAATGTCAAGGGCGTCGGGGTCACCCTCAGGGGCGAGGAGCATGGCACAGAGATGAGGGGAAGCGGCTGCCAAGAACTCTAGCTCAAACTGCCTGTCCTCTAGGACGTCACAGCCAAGGGCAGACACACCCCCGACGGCCAGAGGACTGGTAGGAGGAGCAGCCACAAGACTGGTGGCATAGTCAAGGCGGCGAGTAGAGACAAACGCAGTGACCGCGGCAGTAAGAGCGGAGACAGAGGACAAAGAGGCACGAGGGTGGGTAACAAGAGAGGCGAGAACACGAGAGAGAACAGGATGGTACGTGCGGTAGTAGTCAGTGACAGGGGTAGAGAGAGAAGCTGTGAGGGCCGACTCAGGAGGAGAAGGAAGCACAGGAGGAGCCGAACGAGGCGGACTAGAACGAAACAGGGCAGTACGAAGGTCAGTGAAAGGAACAGGGGACGAGGGACGAGCACGAGGAGAGCGACGAGTAGCCCAAGTACGAGACGGAGGAGGAGACGACAAAGGCGGAGAACTGGGGAAAACAGCGGGGGAGGAGTCAGGAGGAGGAAACGTGGGACCGTAGACAGGAGGAGAGGGGGAGGAGGGAGGAGAGCGAGAGGGGAGACCAAGGGTCCGAAGACCCGAGACAGGAGGAGGAGGTGGCTGCTGCTGCTGCTGCTGCTGCGGCTGGTGCTGCTGCTGCTGCGGCTGCGGCTGCTGCTGTGACTGCTGCTCCTGCGGCTTCAGCTGATGCTGCTGCTGCTGCTGCTGCTGCTGCTGCTGCTGCTGCTGCTGCTGCTGCTGCTGCTGCTGCTGCTGCTGCTGCTGCTGCTGCTGCTGCTCCTGCGGCTCCAGCTGCTGCTGCTGCTCCTCCAGCCGCTGTAACTCCCTCTCCTCTCTCTCCAACTCCAGCTGCTCCTCACGGGCACGGCGAACGCAAGCCTGGAGCCTAGACGGGTAGGGGTGGGGGGGCGGAGTAGTGTCCGGGGCAGCGGCAGCCCCAGAGTCCACCTCCGAAGCACCAGGCGCACCACCCCCAGAGGCAGCATCAACACCAGCTCCAGAACCCGAAGGAGGCGCACCCTCACCTCAAGACGGAGCACCCCCAGTGTCCGCGCGACCAGCACCAGCTCCCGGAAGACAAGAGTCCTCTGCACCCACCGGCTCAGCTCCAACTCCAGCACCCCCAGAACCAGAAACCGGTACAGGAACAGGCTCGGCACCAACCTCTCGAGAGCTAGCACCTGCAGCACGCTGCGAGGAGGACTGTGGGGAGGGAGGCTGTACCGGAGGGGCTACCGAAGGAGGAGGGGTAGCCTGGGACACACCTGACGGGGCTGGACCAGGGGGGGGAGGCTGTACCGGGGGAGCAGGAGGGGGAGCGGCAGTCAGGAAGAGAGGGGGAGGAGGAACCGGGAGACCTCGACTGGGGTACCTGACGTAGTAGGGGGTGGACTCCTCGAAACGGACGTCACGGGAGTCAAAGAACCGGTGAGAGGGAGGGTGGTAAAAGGTGAAGTCAGAGGAGTCCTCAGGGAAACCAAGGAAGACACAAGGAACGGCGCGAGGCGAGAGCTTGTCCGCAGAGGTGTCGCGGACAAGAGCCAAGCAACCCCAGACACGAAACCGCGACGCAACTCCAGGGGACCCGGTCCAAAGACTCAGAAAACCACCAGAGGCTAGAGGTTCAGCTGGTGCGCGGCGTACCGAACCGCGTAAGGCCACAGAAAATGGGGGGCACGGGCGTGAGTCAGGGAGGTGCGGGCGATCTCCATGACCAAGCCAATGCGGCGCTCAGCAACCCCATTATGCTGTGGGGACTCTGGAAGCGTCCAGGACTGACGAATGCCCTGCTCGCGACAGAATCCAGCGAGAATGTCGGAACGAAACTCACCCCCACGGTCGGAGTGAAGACAGCTGACACGACGACCACGAGTGTCCTCGGTGGTGAGCAACCACCTGATCAGCGTAGAAGTCACGTCAGACTTCTTCGCCAGGGGGAACACTGTGGTATAGCGGGAGTAGTCGTCAACGACCACCAGAAAGAAACGCTCACGCTCAGGGCCAAGGCGAGAGGCGGGGCCCCAGACGTCCAAGTGGAGTGTCTCAAAAGGCTCGGTGGCCGGACGAAGGGAGGAGGAGTGAGGGGTGGCGCGCAGCCGACCCTCGACGCAAGGACCGCACGGTGGTGCAAGGGACGGCAGCAGCGACGGCAAGACACGCGGGAGACCTAAGACCAGACGCTGACTAGACATAGCGCGCAGACGTGGAAGAGAAGGGTGTCCCATCCGGTGGTGCCACAGAACGGTGGGGTGGGCAAGCGACCTGCAGGAGCAAGACGCAGCGACTGGACTGGACGCGACTACCTGAGGGGACGTAACCACCTGGTGAGACGCAGGGAGGAGACAAGGGGGAGGGACAGGGGCAGGGAGTAGGGGCTGCTGCGGCGGCGGCTGCTGCGGCTGCTGCTGCTGCGGCGGCGGCGGCGGCTGCTGCTGCTGCTGCTGCTGCTGCTGCTGCTGCTGCTGCTGCTGCGGCCGCTGCTGTGCGCGCAGGCCAGTGTGAAGAGTGTAGAGACCGGAGCCCGGCTCAGCAGCAAAGGTGGCCAGAGGCTGGTAAGAGTCCCCGTCAACACACACCGCAGTCTCCCCAGAAGGCTCAAACCACACACCCACGTGCTGACTCACGAGGGGTCGCACGCCCACCAAGTTCCGGGAGAACGAGGGGACGTGAAACCCAGTGAGAGACCCGGAGGGAGCAGCAGGACACGGCAAAGTGGTAGTGTGACGCGCAGTTACTGATCCCGAGGTGGGATCAGCCAGCGCCACAGAGACAGGCGCAGGAAGTGGTGTAAGTGTCGTGCTGTCACGAAAGAAGCAGTGCGAGGCTCCAGAGTCCAGCGTGAAAGACAGTGAAGCGTCCTCCGAGGTAGCCGCTGGACTAGTGTCTACACAAGAAACTACACTAGCAACAGGCAACGGAGCAAGGCTAGCACCTAAGCTAACAACACCAGAGTAAACAGAGTCAGAAACACTAGAGTCAACAACAGCATACATAGCATGAGGAGTTCCAATCAGATCAGCTAACTGCTCGGCAGACATGTCTTACAGAGTGGAGCCGTAACGCTGAACAAGGGGAAGCCAGTCAGGGGCAGGACCGCCAACCCCGTAAACCAAACGAACCGTGTCAGTGAGCTGAGCAAAGCACTGACCAGGGGGGTGAAGGCGGCCACAAGGGTGGCCCCGGCGAGCACCTGTCAGAACTTGAAAGGTGCAGGGAGGGTAAACAGCACCACGCTGGGGCTGACGCGGCCCCGACCCCGAAGCCAGCTGCGGCCGCTGCTGCTGCGGAGGCTGCTGGGAGGAGAGGGGCTGCTGCTGCTGCTGAAGCTGCTGCTGACGCTGGGCCCGGTACCACGCCGCTGCTCCACCCACCGTGGTTGGCAGTACAGGGGGCGACTGACGAACTCGGGCGTCGCCACCACCAGCAGGCGCAGTGGAGTCACCGGTCGCTGCACGAGACGTCTCTCCAGGCCCTGCACTCCCACCACCGCCAGTCGCAACGCCACCCCCACTACCTCCGCCTCCACCAACGCCGCCGCCAAGCGCCGCCCCTCTTGCCACCCCTACCGCGGGACCGCGACGAAGTCGTAACAGCAGCTGCGGTCGCGTCAGTAGCGGCAGTGGCGAGAGAGGCAGTAAAGGTGGGCATGGGCAGGATTGTGCACCCGTGGAAGAGTGGGGGGGGCACAGCACCAGAGGCAGCGGCTACGGAGCGGAGGTTGCTCTCGATGTCCTTGAGCGCAGACTCAAGGACCTCAATAGTGAGCTCACTAGGGTGCTTCAGGAGAAATAGATAGTGGCGATAAAATAACTAGTAATCGCCATGGGAGGAGGAAGCAGTGCAAGTTGTGCCTCAGTGCAAGCAGCGCGGTAACTAGAGTCGAGAGAGCGGAGGTGAACAATTAAGTTAGCAGAGCGCTCAAATGAGGCGAGATCAGGGAACAGGAACGGGAGGAAAAGGCGGCCAAGAGAGACAACAGCAGGAGTAGAGTAGTGGGCAGTCAGGTACTCAGCAGCAGTGCGAACCTGAGTAAAGTGGACCTCCTCAGACTCAGGGAGGAGGGTGCTGAGCGCGATGCAGGCCGCAGCGTCACGCGACGTCCAAGCTGTCAGGTCAGCGCGCTGACTAGCAAAGTGGGCTCTAGCGGCGTCGTCAGGGGCAGGGCCTAAAGGCGTAGGTTCGGGGGGCGCAGGGAGGGCACCAGTAGCGTGCGCCCAGAGGGTCTCGCCTGACTGGACCTGACTCTCTAACTGACGGCGAGCGCGCAGAAGCCAGAGCGAAAAGTCAAGGGGTCTACCGTCAGCGTCGAAACGAAGAACACGCGGAGTCGCCATAGCTGAAACTGACGGAAAAGCGGAGGCAAATGGCAACTAGGGAGGCAACCTAGTGAAGGAGAGGCGCGGCAGCAGGCGAGACCAGCAGTCGCGATTGGCGGGGGGAGCGGACGCTACGGCGGACGCGACAGCGGGAGGCGGCAGCGCGTGCGGCGGGCGACGGCAGCGCGCGCAGGGGCGAGCGACGGGAGCGGGCGTAGCGGCGACGTGCGCGGGGGCGGGCAGCTGCGGCGGGCGCATCGGCGACGGGCGCAGGCTGCGGGTGCAGCGGCGGGCGAAGGGAGGAGGCGCAGCGGCGGCGCGCGTAGGAGGGGACGGGCGACGGGACGACGGGCAGGGAGAGCGCGACGCGACGGGGAGCGGGGGGGGAAAACGCGACTCGACGGGCAGCGGGGGGGAAAACGCGACGGGCAGCAGGGGGGAGGGGAGGGGGGGGGGGGAGGTCGGTACGCTACGAGAGGAGTGGATCGGCGGAACGGGCGGTAACGAAGGAACGCGACTAGAGCGGGCCGGCGCTAGGCTCGGGCAAGACGTGCGCAACTAGTACGAGAGAGGGAGACAGGCTCGGGCGATACGAACGAGGTCGGGAGGAGCGGGATCCCACAGGATCCGAACCTAGGTGATACCATGTCAAACTGAGGAATGAATGATGCATTGATGTTGGTTTGGGGTACATATAACAAACCCTAACTTTTGTACCCCCTAAGACAAACCTCACTACAGGCTACAACATTTGACAATCTTCTCGATCTTGCAAACAGCCTGAGGTGAACCTTAACCACATTTTACTAGGGCAGTCTGTCCGTACAAAGCCACGATCCAAATCAGCATGAACATAGTAGCTTTGCACCCTCATAGCATTTATTGTCAAAACTTATGGGTTTAATGTTATCTAGGCTATATAGGGGTTAGCCATAGGGGGTACACAATTCACCTCGACACTCTTGCTTGTACCCCCATCCTTGACCTAATCAAGCCATTCCTCTCCTACTACTCTTAACATGGTATTAAGAGCCGTTAGGTCCTTAAGACCAAAATTTTAAGAGGGCCCACCGATATTTCCTGCCCAAATCGCGCCCCTAGATGCGTCACGCTTTTATCCTGCCCAAAACGCGCCCTAGGCGCGTCGATTTTTACTTCCTAGCCCCGCTGCCCAGCTCGCGCGCAGCCCATACAGCCCGCTCGCCGCTCGCGCGCAGGCCGTACAGCACCCGCGCCGCCCGGGTGCGGCCCGTCCAGCCCGCGCAAGGCCCGCGCGCAGCCCGTACAGCCCGCGCCAGGCCCGCGCGCACCTGCCCTGCCGCCCGCGCACCTGCACTGCCCCTGCGCTTCGCCGGCGCACTGTCCCTGCTGCCCTACTGCCGCCTGTGCTACTGTTGCTGCACTGCTGTTGCTGCTAAGCTGCTGCTGCTTTTCAGCTGCTGCTGCCGCCTATGCTGCTGCTGCACTGATGCTACTGCCCTACGTCGTGTTGTGCCTACACGCGTGGCTGCCCTGCCCTGCCTGCACGCGTGAGCCCTGCCCCGTGCGCCTGCCCTGCTCCGCGCTGTTGCTCTGCACGCGCGGTTGCCCTGCCTTGCCCCACGCTGTTGCGCTGCTCGTCACGCGCCACCTTACTCTGCTCGCTATGGCTACTGTCATCAGTGGGAGTGGTGGGGGCGGTCGTAGTTGTCAAACATTATATATGTTGTGTTTGTTTAGGCTACAGTGGGTTAGCCTATAGGGGGTACACAATTCTAGGGTTAGGTACTTGTACTGATTTCACTGCTAGTTCAATCATTCCTGTCTGTTGATTTCGACATGGTTTCAGAGCAGGTCCTTCGCTAGGACCGTTCTTAGGGCCCACCGCTACCTACCTACCTACCTACCTACCTACCGTGCGCCCCAGTGCGCCTCCTACCTACCGCGCGCGCGCAGCCCGCCAGCCAATCGCGCGCGGCTCGTTTGTTTTTTTTTTTTTTTTAACCGCGCGCGACCCGCTAGCTGCCCGCGCGCGGCCGATTTCTTTTGAGCGCGACCGGCTAGCCGCCCGTGCGCCGCTCGCACCGCTATAGCGCAGCCCGCAGCGGCCCCGCCGGCCTGCACATTGCCGCCCGCCCGCTGCAGCGCCCGCCCGCTCGTCGCCCGCTGCAGCTGCCGCTCGCTCGTCGCCCGCTGCAGCTGCCGCCCGCTCGTCGCTCGCTGCTGCTGCCGCCCGCTCGTCGCCCGCTGCAGCGCCTGCCCGCTCGTCGCCCGCTGCAGCTGCCGCTCGCTCGTCGCCCGCTGCTGCTGCCGCCCGCTCGTCGCCCGCTGCAGCTGCCGCTCGCTCGTCGCCCGCTGCTGCTGCCGCCCGCTCGTCGCTCGCTGCAGCTGCCGCCCGCTCGTCGCTCGCTGCTGCTGCCGCCCGCTCGTCGCCCGCTGCAGCGCCTGCCCGCTCGTCGCCCGCTGCAGCTGCCGCCCGCTCGTCGCCCGCTGCTGCTGCCGCCCGCTCGTCGCCCGCTGCAGCTGCCGCTCGCTCGTCGCCCGCTGCTGCTGCCGCCCGCTCGTCGCTCGCTGCAGCTGCCGCCCGCTCGTCGCTCGCTGCTGCACATTGCCGCCCGCCCGCTGCAGCGCCCGCCCGCTCGTCGCCCGCTGCAGCTGCCGCTCGCTCGTCGCCCGCTGCTGCTGCCGCCCGCTCGTCGCCCGCTGCAGCTGCCGCTCGCTCGTCGCCCGCTGCTGCTGCCGCCCGCTCGTCGCTCGCTGCAGCTGCCGCCCGCTCGTCGCTCGCTGCTGCTGCCGCCCGCTCGTCGCCCGCTGCAGCGCCTGCCCGCTCGTCGCCCGCTGCAGCTGCCGCCCGCTCGTCGCCCGCTGCTGCTGCCGCCCGCTCGTCGCACGCTGCA